AGGACACGCCTCCCGGCCAAGGAGGGAAGACGCTGTAAAAGGGGAGTTCGGCTCCGCCGAAGAAGTTTTCCCGGAGTCGGAAACTTGGCGTGCCCCCCTCCGGCCCGTCCAACACGGGGCGGCCGGGCCGGGGGCCGGAGACCCCGTCCGCGTGAGGCCATAGGTCGCTCTGGGGCGAGTGTCACGTTCAGATCATGCTCTGGGACGCGGCGAGTGCCGGGAGCCGACCTGGCGAGCGAGATAACGTTTCGTCGCGGAGCTGTTTTGCGAGGCCGTTTTCTAAGAAATGACAGGATTTAGGTGGTTTTCAGCCGTTCGTCCGAGGAAGATAAATGGCAGCGCGTCGCTACCCCGCTCCGGGTTAGGAGTTAACGCTCCGCTTAGGCCTCTTGTTCGTTTCGCAGCGCGGTGCGTGTCTGAGAGTGGAAAACCTAAAACATGAGACGCGCATGGTTAATAATTTTATTAAATAAGTTGCGCCAACGTCTTTCTACGTTAGGTTTCTAATGGGCTGTCGTCCTGGTGCAGATTTTGACACGGAAAGGGGTTCTCCGGCTTGACCCTTTTCTTTCAAACCACGTCCATTTATAGACATAATCAGATATTAAGAAGTGAGAAGTTGGTAGATAAAAGATCCTGATGAAATGACTCCCTTTTAGTTCATTTCTTACCTGCCTCCAAGGTCCTCTTGGGACAAACTCACTGTCGATATAAATAGATGTGTTTTCCGTTGGTGACCAAGCAGTTGTGCCTTCTCGCATCAGAATTGAACTTGGCCCGTTTTTTAGATGTCGTTTGAAATTAGTGTTGCTGACCAAGGCTTTGATCCTGCAATGGGCCAACTACCTGCAAGCGCCTGCGCCTGTGATGCAAAATCAGGGCCCCAGGCTCTCTCCAAAGGCTGCTCCCTGCAGCTAAAGAATGTAAAAGTCCTTTAAACATCTCTCTGTTCAGCGAACTCTGTGCATGTGTTTGGGGTTTTGTTAATGATGTGGTTTAAACTATAAAGGAAAATCGGTACCTTTCCTCTGACGAGTCTGGCATTTTTACAGTTCCCATACCGGAAAAAGGGGTAGTGCTGGGGAGCTGCTGGCGTGAGCCCTGGCCACCTGTTGTAAGAGATGATCTCTGTTCGGTGCTGGATTTTAAACAACGTAACAAATGGACCTCCACAGCTCATTGACAGCTTGTTTACTCTGCATGTGAAAATGTGTTGTCCTGTGGTTTCTAAGAATTTTCTGATGTTCTCCATTTTTCTGACTAGATTTATCAGCAGAGAAGCAAACATAGGTTTGCACGAGGCTGGGAAAGACTAACAGTCGGCGTGAAAGAACCATGTCTGTTCGGGAGTCCTTTAACCCAGAGAGCTACGAACTGGACAAGAGCTTCCGCCTGACCCGATTCACTGAACTGAAAGGCACAGGCTGCAAAGTGCCTCAGGATGTTTTACAGAAACTACTTGAATCCTTACAAGAAAACCATTTCCAAGAAGATGAACAGTTTCTTGGAGCTGTTATGCCCCGGTTGGGTGAGTATTTCTTCGTCTCATAACAAGTAATACTGCTGTCTCATTTATTAAACGGGTCAAGTCAGACTTCAGTTTATTTTAAAGGAATGTGTTGTATGATGCATGCACAGTCGTCCAGAAGTGTGAAGCATAAACCTGTAGCTGTCATCTGATAGGACTTGCAGTATAAGAGAAATGTTATACTCATCTTTTCTGTAGTGCATATAACTTTCTGAAGAGAAATGCACATGTAGGGAGATGGGGCTATGAAATGACCCTACAGGTAGAGATACATTTTAGGATTAGAGGAACTATAGCTTTTGTTTTCACTAATGGATTCTTCACATGATTCATGTAGATGTTCAGTAACCAAAATACAGCGCCTAATTTCTATGAACAAGTGTTATTATTTCAGCATTTACTCAGCAAATGCGGACTCAATGATTTTGAAGCAACAGTTAAGTTAGAGGAGACTTTTTCTCCCCTTAGAAATATTGCAAAGATCATTTTGTACTTAACTTGAAACAGAGAATTGACCACTTATAACTAGCCCTTCCCAAATCCAGTTTCACTTCTAAAGACAGTCTACATTTGTAATCCAGAACATTGATTATTTCCTTTCAGACCCCTGACTCTGCCTTATTCCCTCTAAATTTCCAGCTCTGCTTGGAGAAGTTGCACTTAACAAGTGTGTGGTCTTTCCAGAGTTGCTTTCTCTTTGGTGTTTGCACAGTGAGGCAGGCAGAAAGGAAAGACAACCTGCACAAGCAGTCTAAATAGGAAATAGTGTGCTTGTAGGTATTTTGCGAGCTGCAAGACCCATTGTTGATGTAAACAAATGAGGCTAGAGAATATGTTTAATGATGACAGACTTTTAGTCTAGTTCATCTGTTCGTTCATGCATGTGTATTTAATCTGGTCATAGGACAAATTTTAGAAATGTTGGTCCTTCAGATGTTGGTGTCATGTTTGCTTTTGAACTTATTTTACTGTCAGTTAGTTTCATTGTTCAGGGGGTTCCTTTAAAATGATTTGGTACCTCTAGTTATCCCTCACCAGACTAACAGGTTGCAACTCAGTATTCCAGAGGAGGTCAGAATTTAGCAAAAGATCAACAGGGCCCATGTTCCTAGTGAAACAAGGGCTATCTCTGTATGAAATATCTAAGACATAATTGTATGAGAGGCTGAGTGGTGATATAATTTAATATCCTCTACTAAGGGACACTGTGAGCTTCCTTTGGTTGAAAGTTTAATCCTTGCGAGGTATCTTTGTTTATATAATAGCATTGTCTTCGTGATTAAATGACTTGTTGAAAAAAAAAAAAAAATCAGGCATAGTTTGTTTGGAATTAATTATTCCTCTGCAGTTTTCCAACCCTTTGTTAGTGTCTGAGAACCAGAAAACAAAAGAAACTGTAAGCAAAAGTGAAACTGCCAGTGTAGTCCTATCACCTTGCTGCATGAAAGAATAAAAAGTAAACTAATAGATAAGTAAGCAGTTGTGGGGTTGGGGGGGAAGAAGATTTTTGCACACAGGTGAAAAAATAAAGTATTTTTTAAAATTGTGCTTTATGAAGAGTATCTCCCTAACCATGACATCAGCAAGTAAGTTTCTACTTACTTGTTCAGATGCCTTGCAATTTAAAAGGAGGCAGCTGATTTCCCTGTCACTGGTTAGGGATAGATGGTGTCTGGAAAATGCCAAAATTGGGCACTCTGTCACAAATCTTTACTCTCCAGCAGCTAGTTCCGACCTAAGCCCACGAGGGTTTAGGAATGCTTCTATAAGTGAGGAATTGCAGGTATGGGCACCAGTTTTTTGAGGTGTATTAGCTATACTTGAACTTTCAGCCCCTGTGGAATTTTGCTGAAATTTGGAGATCTCTGCTTGGCTGCAGATGGTCCATGCATGTACACCAGCTTGCAAAATGAGGGTCTGGGATATGAACAGTAAAATGCTTGACATTTCTGAAGCAGGTAGGCATGTCTTTCATTGCAGCTAGTTCTTACTGAAGATTAAGACTGCTGCTATAACACTTCTGACAAGGTAAAGAAAACCAACTACAGGATAAAAAACTTAAGGGGTTTGGGGGTTTCTGTGTTTGCACATGTACATTTAAGAAAAGCTTTAAATGATGTGCAGTAGATGTGTGAATCGGCATCCACCCGTCACTGTGATTAAAAATTTTAACAGTCTGAGAACAGACATACGGCAGATATAAAAATATGCTAGGTGCCTCCCCCAATGCATTAATACATCCAGTGTTCCCTCCAAGTTAAACTTGCCATGTATTATTGCATTTCAGCATATTGTAACACAAGCAAGATCGGTTCCTATAACATAGGCTTCACACTCCTTCAGGTTTAAGAAGAACTTATCAGGCTCTTGGCTTGTTTTCCATTTGTTGCAGATATGCTGCTTATAAGGAGTGAAATCTTGATGCTGCTGCTTTGGTAGTGACTTGTTTTGCAGAACTGCAGAACATTTTGAGCAAAAATCTTCTATTAATTACTGGTTTCTGTCCTTTCAGGAATTGGGATGGACACATGCGTTATTCCTTTAAGACATGGAGGTCTGTCTTTGGTCCAGACAACAGATTACATTTATCCAATTGTGGATGACCCATACATGATGGTAAGTTGGCCAACTTTGCCATTAGAAGATTGCTAACACTTGATTTTTGTTTTCCGATTGTTTTCATGGCTGGGACAGATCCAAAGAAGATCACACATACTTAAAGCTGGACTTAAGCAGACTTTAGCCCCTTAAATCCAACATTGTGATGTAGAAAATCCCTGCATAGTGGCCACCTAGCCCTGGAGGTGTCTAAATTTGCAAATCTCTGTTTTTTGATCAAATTGCTCTCAAGGTGCCTGCGATTCTGCTTTCTGTGTGGACCTAGAACTGCCATGTAAGCAGCTTGGTCCATAGCTCCTATGTAAATCCCATTTGGATCCAGAAGCTAGGCAGGCTTCATTTGGTAGGAGTGCCCAGAATGTGCTTAACACAATTTTACCTCATAGGGATCAGCACTAAACACAACAGCCATGGTCACTTACATTAAAGAACACAGTGGGTAGTGCAAACTTTTTACAAAATAGCCTCCTAGTTAGAGCACCCACCCAGGAAATGGGAGACATTTTCTAGTCTCTACTGGGCCTACAGATCTTACTGCCTAGGAAAGTGCCCTAAACACTAGGATTATGGGCTTGACTGGATGAGGGCTCCCTCTTGCTTTCCTGTTGAAATTGGGCCACTGTTCAGAAAAGACATTCAAGAGTTATTGGGTCAGAATCAGAGCAAGCAGGAATTGGGCTCTATAGCCTTTGGACTACGATGCTCAGCTGAAAGGTGAGAATCTTGGGTTTCTAGCCTTGCTGCCATGCTATTTGTGCACTTTACATTATACAGTCTTCATATGAAAGAAATAATCATGAGCAGGGCTCAGAACTACTCCCTTCTGGCTGAGTTGCTGGATCGTTGGGATACAGATCTAGTCTGTTCCATGCTCGTTCTCCCTTTGTCCTCAGGATTCTTGCATTCCTTGTGACACAGTGACCCACATTCAGCAAGAGTTTGAAGATGCCTGCTCAGCCCCTCCTGGAGGTTCAGATACTCTCCTGAGACGTGGGAGATGTTCGTTGGAACCCACTCAAGCTAAGGCAGGGCTTGGGTTCAGTTCCCTCACTTCCTGAGTGCTCAAATGTTTCAGGCTGTTCTGCAAAAGGCAGATTTCTCCTCCTCCTCTGGGGTTTGAGCTCTGTTCAGTTCTTTCAACAAACACTTGGCCTGCAAGGACTTTGGTCCCTCAATCTCGGGTACATAGAGGTGCCTGCCTCCTTAGCAGCCCTGACTCAGACACCTAAGTTCCAGGGAAGGGTGGAAATTCAGATGCCATCCATATATTCAGCATGTCCTGTTGGCTGCTTTGGACATGGGGGTTTTGTGGATTGCCCTTTTTGAGGGACCTAACTCCCCTCAAGTGGTGCATGGAGAATGTAAGCACTCAACTCTGTTTTTGGTTCAATTCAGGGACCTAAGTTAGGTGTGTGAAGCATAATATGGAGGAGCCTAGGTCCTCCTTTTGGATATGGCCCTCATTATCTCTAAGATAAATGTCTGTGATACTGGTTTGGTTAGTCATGTTCTGTGCCTTTGCAAAGTATGTAGGCACAAGGAAACACTCTCATGGTTTCACCCTCAAATCCTTCCCATGTCTGCTGGTGCAGTTGCATTGTTGCTTTCTGAAGGTGAGAATCTCAGGACAACTAAGATTAAAACAGTGCTGCTTCCTATTGTTGATCTGTGGGAGCCTGTTGTGTTGGGAAAGCAATATAGAGAGCAATACGGAGAGGTTCTTTGTGATCTGTGAGCAAACTAGTGCACCCAAAATAGAAAGTATCCAACCCTCCACCCCCACCCTCTGACCTTCTGTTTGGCAAACCAAATTCCAGAGGACCCTCTTTGAGGTTCTGAAATGAGCAGGTAGTATTTCAGAACTGGAAAACCCCAAATAATAGTACATCTGATACTTATCCCTCTCAGCTTCAGAGCTCTTTGCAAGCCCTAGTTTTCCCAGGTTCCCAACACTTTTTCTTGTCTCCACTTGCCTGGTGGAAAAGCTGAGGTTCAGAGAAACTGTGTGACTCGTCTCCCATTTTACAGCAAGCAGTGACAGAGTGAAGATTGAGTTGTAGAAGTATTGACTAGACTAGGAGTTGACTCTGGATTCCAATTCTGTTCCCAGATTACATTTTTGCCCTTTTCTCACTAGAGAGATCTACGTTTTACATTGCTGTGTACTCTCCTTGTGTGGTCAGTAATACGTATAAAAGTATTTAAAAGAGAACTATTAAGATTAAGTAAATACTTAAATTTTAAGAAACACCAGAAATAAGGTTGCCTCAATCTTAATTTGACCCCTCTGTATATGTGCATTACGATACAGGCTTTAATCCTGTAGTTTTATATTACTTTTCCATAAGGCCTGGCCTCAGTCCGTGCACAGAAAGGCTGGTGTTCACTGAATGAGCAGTTCTCTATTTTGTTTTAACCTCATTGTTCACTGTGTGACCCGAGGCCTTATTTATTGCACACTATTCAGATTCTGTTGAGGCCAGAATTACTAATTTTCTCATGGGTTTTTCTACTGTGCATATTATATTTTGTGTCTGAATGTTTGACAGCTTACTTTCACAACTCCCAAGGTAGTGAGAGGGTTGATATTATCCACATTTTACACATTACTGCTAATTTTATTGTGGATGCCTGGTTTGAGAAGGCTAGAATCCACCTCATTTATTTTTTGCATAGTAAGTATCATGTAGCACTTTAATATATTCAAATCATTGCTCAGCTCTTCTGTAAATCAGGTTCCATGATATCAAGTTGGGCACCTAGAAAACGAGGAATGTAAAGTTATTGATTACGTCTCAAAAGCTTCATTTGAATGAGTTGATTATGGTGACAGAGGCAGGAAATGAAACCAGTCCTCCAGGTCAGCAATGAGATGCCTTAATCATGAAAATATTCTTTCTTCTCATGCAATACCAAGTCGGATAACTACTTTCAAGCCTCTGCAAGAAATGGAGCAGGGGGATATGTAGAAAACAGCTTCCTTAATTATACCACTCTGATGGCTTCCCAGAGAGGGGCCAACTTTGCATTGAATGAGGTGGTGGGCCCTGTGGAAAAAGTAGGGTGTGATCATGGAACCAGAAACTGCATGTGTGCATGGGGGTCTAATTAAGGCTGTACAATTGATTGTAATTCAGTGTCCAAACTTTTGACTGCTTGACTTCGCAACCTTTAATGCATGTGCATGGGTGTACATGTGGGCTATCTTAAAAAACAAACAACCCCCCCCAAAAAATAGTGAAAGTGCCATCATATGAGCCCTTGTTCCAGGGGGTTGGAACTGCTGATAGATGCTAAAAAGACTTGAACTAACAGCAACCGTGTGAACAAGTAGGTGGTTATTCTCTTTGTGTCCCAGCATGGGTGGGAGACGGGATGCTTATTTGTCCAGAGGGTTTCATGAATATTTGCTTATGGCCAAGGAACGGTAAGACTTGGGAGTCCCAGATTCCCTTCCTGGCTCTGGCACGGGAAACATGCGCACAAGTCAATAGAGGCTGTAAGAGGGTTAACACTGGACTCTGCTCCTTCTGCTTGCTAGGCCAGAGACCAGCAGGAGGCATATTGGTAGCCATGAGAGCACAGTGTCTCTTGGCTTCCATTCCTGTGAAGAAAAGTGAGCTTCCCTGCTTAAAACATGCACCCTGATTTTGAAGGGCTGATTTTTGGGAGGAATGGCAGGTGTCATACGTGAGTAAATATAGTATTCCCAATGTTTTATCCTCAAAACGATTGAACTACTTTGGCTGAAATATTTTTTCCAAAAATATTTGGCCTGAGGCAGAAACCAAGGAGAGATTATATCAGCCCAGAGGTTGTCAAAGGGATAAGCAAGGGAAAATAAGGGCCTATAATGGGAGATATCAGGCATCCTTAATTACAGACAATCTTACAAGGCCACGTGTAAATAAGAGATGAATATTTTGAGTACAGGATTAGAAGACTGATAATTGGGGGTATTTCCATTTTAAAAGCAGAAATATTGGCATTCTTGGTTCACAGCAAATGCAGACAAGAACGAGGATAAGAGTTTGAGGCCTCTAGCTTCTGCCCACATGAGCAGTCTGTCCTCCAGCAAGTCATTTCATGTGTCTCAGGAAGCCTAAGCTTGCAGCTAAGTGTTTGCAAGCGGAGGCTCAAACTCTACTATGTCAAGAGTATGCAGGTTGTAGCCATATTGGTCTAGTAGAAAAAGCAATCAGGGCTCATGGTAGAGATGATATCTTTTATTAGACCAACAAGATTTTTGCAAAAAAATGTCTTTGATTGCAAGCTTTCAGGCACAAAGCGTGTTTGTGCCTGAAAACTTTCAATTAAAAACTTTTTTTTTGCAAAAATTTGTTGGTCTAATAAAAGGTATCACCTCTGCCATGAGCCCTGATTACTGTGTCAAGAGGCTTGCATAGTCAAGATAAACGGCTGGGGACTCACCTAGCCTAAACCTAATTCTGAACTGCTTGGTGTTTGCTCATCACTGTTGATGAGACACACGCATCAGTTGGTAGCTGAGATCCCAGTTTGTCTCCACAGTGGCTTTGCTTGCTGGCTAACAGGTTGTGGCAGTGACCTCCTGCCATTAGACCAGACAGCTGTTGTCACTGTGGTTTGGAAAACCTTATCAGTTGTTCTTAAGAGAGCATAAACAAGCAGCTTGCTTGGTAAACACTGCAGATAGTGCCTATTAATTTGATAATCCCTCCTACAGAAAAGGAAAGCTACGTGCCTTAGCCTTCTTAAGCATCTATACAAATCCATTAGTGGGTTTCCTTGGGGCCATGCAACATGTATAGTTACCTAGACTTTTGTAGTAAGAAGTTGAAATGTTGGACATTTTTTCCAGTTCCAGATACTCATGCAGGGGGTCCCACCAGCAGCAGTGGGATCTGTATGCATGGATGCAAAGCTCCATTATGAACCAATATGACTTGAGCATATTATTTTTATAGTATCTCAGGATGAGCAGAGCTCCTAGAATAGAGAGAGAATTTGCCCAATGAGCTTGTGGTCTAATACAATTGATACAGTAGAAGTTCAAGATTAAATGTTTTCTTGAGACAAGGATTTTTGTGGGTGATATCTTTTGTTTCAACCATGCAGTTGGTTCAATAAACTTTAATAAGTTTTTGTACCACACTACCCTCCTTCACGTTTCAGGAATGGTGCTGTGGCACTCAAAAGCTTGTATGAGTCTATCCCAACCATTCAGTGGTTCAGTAAAAGACATCACCCACAGAAATCCTTGCTTTCTGCATGTTTCCTGGACCATCACAGCTACAACACTTCAGCACCGCAAAAAAAAGTTTCCTCGAGCCTTTCCTAGCAAACGAAACAAAGGATTTTTTTGGTTTTGTTTTCCTTTGGTCCCAACTGTTTTGCTTAAATATGCTGAAAATGCAGATTAAAACCATAAGGCCATATTTTATTCCCATCTCCATAGACACAAGCTCACAGTAACTTCAGTAAAGTTTGGGGCGTAACTCCAGATTTACATTAGCATGACTGAACAGAATTTGGCTTATATATATCTTTTTTTCTCACACACACACACACACACACACACACACACACACACACACACACACACACACACACACACACAGCATCATTTCTGAGCATGCATCAGAGAGCTCAGAGTGTGGATGCATGATACTGTTACTGTGTAGAAAACTGACTTTACTCCATGGTACAACAGTCTCCTTTTCTTCCTTCTGTTTCTGTCATTTTTCTGGAGTAGGTACACTACCCACAACTTTCCAGTGGAACAAATTTCTCTTTTCATTGGTAAAGCTATTTGTGGGAAAAATTTAATAAATTTACCCCAAGGTTACTTACTACGGAGTAAGTGTCACGTGTCCACTCCTCCAGTTGCTTTCATTCCAGGGTGCATTTACTCGGTACAAACAGGCCATGACCTACTGCCCTGCCCACCCAAGGGACACGCAGCTAGCTGGAGTTGGTCATATGTCTGCATGTTACTGGGCACATCTACATGAGACGCTTAGTCCATAAGAAAACATTTTACTGCTCATTAGTGTGGCGGGCAAAACCCATGCTAATACACGAATGCACAGTAGATTTAGTCTAATGTGCATTAAGGCCGCTAAAAAACCATTCATCTGCGCTAATGCACAGTAGCGCTGATTACCGCACATTTACTACCCATCATTACAGGTACTAAACTTAATGCACCGTAATTACGGCACATTAATGAACGTGTAGTAAACATGCCCACAAAGGAGTAAACTTGCAACAGAGTTGTCAGTGGTGGTGATCCCTTATGGTGGAGGATGATCACTCCAACGGGTCAAGGAAAGGGTTGTCGATCAGTCCGTTGATGGCTAAGAAGGTCGATCCTAGAGCCACAGACTGGCAGATACTACAGGTGGTGGTCAAAGGGAGGGTCGAACCACAGATTTCTCAGTCTCCTTTTCATCCTTCTGTTTCTGTCATTTTTCTGCCTCCAGGGTGAGATGGTTTTCCTCAAAGTAAGATGTACCTTCTCTCATAAGGCTTTGCCATGTACTCCTGCCCCAGGTAGTTTTTCCCATTTGTGGTGTCAATGCCACACTTCTTAATGTTCGCCTTGAGGATGTCCTTGAAGTGTTTCCTCTGGGTGTGTCCTTTGTCCTTGCTTGAGTTGGGAGTATAGCAGTTGTTTTGGTAAATGTACATCAGGCACATGCACGCAATGACCTGTCCACCACCACTGATGTTGAATAATCGGTGTTTCCACGCTGGTGGTGTTAGTGTTGGTGAGGACACTGTGCGACAATCCTCCCACTTTATGCCGAGGATCATCCAGAGGTGGTGAAGGCGTTCCAGGCTTTTCAGGCGGTCCCTACAGATTACCAAAGCTTCACAGCTGTAGAGAAGAGTTGGAGCTTTTTTTTTGAGTCCTGATGTTGTGATCATTGAACATAGAAGACTGTATCATCATGAAGGCAGAGCTGGCACATTGGATCTTATAGATTCATAGATTGTTAGGGGCTGGAAGGGACCTTGCAGATCATCGGGTCCAGCCCCCTCGCTCCAAGCAAATACTGAATACACTGGATCTCCTCGCTGAAGTTGTCCACCTTTGAGAGATGGCTGCTGAGATATGCAGTGTTCTCCAGCTCCAGTCTGTCAATGAGGATCTGTGCCAGGGGCGTTGATTGCCCTGGAACGGGCTGGTGAAGCACCTTTGTTTTTCTGACGCTAAGGGTCAGTCTCAAGCTCTGATATGCTTGAGAGAAGCAGCTAAGGACCATTTGTAGGTCCTCCTACAGAGTAACCTCCAGATTAAATTACACCAAAATGTTTGTATCGTGTGTCCACACCCTAGGCATATTCATCCATGTTCCCACATCAGGGAGCTCAATGTCTCCTTGCTGTGTTCTTCTCTTCATGCCAAAACCTGCTTTTCAGGCTAAATTGATCTTCAACTTAAATCTGTTAATATATAATATTAATATATATTAATATAACATAATTGTTATTCCTTGAGTGGTATCTTTACCATTATCTTCAGTTGTAGCTGATAGATCTTAAGCCGGGACTAAGCTACAAAGTTTTGTCGACAGAAGTTACGTTTTGTTTCTGTAGATTTACATGCAGCCACAGGTGCTGGCAAAAGCCAGCCTTTCTAGCAAGTAAAGCCTTCCTGAATGGTGCATGCCCTCAGCCAGTCTATAGTTACTGGCAGAAATTTAGTGCGCGCGCTCTCCAACAACAGTCATGTGAGCCTCTGTAAGCCCTGGGCTTCTACCCGCAATGCACTGTGCCTTACGCCAGCACAACTGCACTCAGGAAGGACCTGTGGCACCAGCAAAAGCAGCCAAGTGCATGTGTGGCAGTGTTACAGCAGTGTCAGCAGCTGCAAGTGTCTGCCAGAAGTCTGGCAGGAAAACTTTCCAGTGAAAATGTGGCCTCAGAAAAGAGTTCTGTGGCAATGCACAAGGAGAAAGACTTCAGCTCACCATTATCCTGTTTCTGTAGGGCAAACAGGAGTACAGAGCAATATAAACATCTTGGACTAGATCCTTGGCTAGTGCAAATTGTCATTCTAAAACTCCATTGAAATCAAGGCATTCTTATTTGGGCAGGCCTTTAGCAAACAAAGCTGGGCCGAAACATTGTTCAGCATATTCTCATTCCCCTTTGAAGTTCTGTTCTCTTGTAAGCCTCTCTGAGCCTTTGTTGGGAAGGGCGGCGTATAAACTGTATAAATAAGATCCTGCTGCATTGGACTGGACTAAAGTTGATGGAGCTGTGTTGATTTAAGTCAGCTGGGAATCTGTCTGTCTGTCATTAAAATGGGATCTGACTCAGTGTTCAGGCAGGTAGTAGGCTTGTGCAGCAAGAACATGCTGGTTTTATTGTCTTCCTTCTCAACACTTCCTGCCAGGATTGTCCTGTTTATGTGAAACATTTGTCTGAATGTACAGAAATTTTGATCTGGATTTTTTTAATTTTTTTTCAGGGACGTATAGCCTGTGCCAATGTCCTAAGTGACCTTTATGCCATGGGGGTCACAGAGTGCGACAACATGTTGATGCTCCTTGGAATCAGTAATAAAATGACGGACAGGGTAAGATCCGTGGTGCTTGCTGTTCTGAGAAATAGACCCAAACAACTATACATGCTGAGGTGTCACCTTAAATGTTAGCCTTTTCAAACAGGGTTAAAGGGGAGATCTTATAAGGTACCATTCCAAAGAGCCTATTACTTGCATCATGGCAGGAATTCTGAGGTTGTTTGCCAGCAGCCTGGTCCTGAACAGCTCTTCTGTGGCAGGTCATCTCCAAAATGGTGCTCCTGTTTCTGCAGTAGAGCCGTAAGGTATGGAACAGCACTCGAATGCAGTGTTGATAGGTGTGGCTGAAGAACCTGGATAGATCCTGCAATCCTTTGTGCCAATTGCTGTGATGCGTCCTTTGAAGCAATCCAGACCTGATGCAGAAGAACGTGAGTTGGAATTTGGAAACTTCTGGCACCTGTGGCTATGCAGAAAAAGGGCCACCATTTTGGAGAAAGAAATAACACAAAACCCAGTGGGTTGCTTAGTTGCATGGGACCCTGGGATGCAGAGGACTGCCTCTCTTCTTTTTTTTTTTTTAAGGTATTAGTGTGCCAAATCCTACTTTTCCCTGTGGCGCTAATTAAAACAGTAGAATGTTGCTCTAAATATACAGATCTTTTCCTTGGTCTGTTCAGAGTAGGGATTTGGATCTGTGATCCTCGTTTCATATCTCAGTTCCTTTACCTTCTGCATTACATTTGCAGATGCTTCTACAACATTTTCCAAGGAGTTCTGAAACGGACAGTATGGGAATGCCAGAATGTGGAAGCTAATGTCTTTCTAGGGCTTCCCTCACCTTCTGTGGAAATGGGGCTTTTCCTTGACTTTGGGGGAAGCAGACTTGATTTTCTTATGCCCTGATCCTGTTTTTCTAACTGAGTTAGACCATGCTTATGTGAGACTCTGACCTTTGTGCTTTGATCTCTAGGAAAGGGACAAAGTGATGCCTCTAATTATCCAGGGCTTCAAAGATGCAGCAGAAGAGGCAGGGACTTCTGTGACCGGTGGCCAAACGGTGTTAAATCCTTGGATTGTTCTTGGAGGAGTGGCCACAACAGTCTGTCAGCCTAATGAATTCATAATGTAAGTTAAATTACAGAACAGAATCTCAGGACACTGTCAGCAGGTCACAGGAAAAACCATTTTGATACTATGTTGTGTTCTTTTTTGTAACTTCTCACAAATTAAAGTATATCTTCTCCCCTTTCTTTGTTCTCAGCACTTGACTACAGTGGTACCAGAAGCAACATCTTTCTTGTACTGGCTGGCTTTCTTTTAAAGAGTTTCCTTTCTCTTGTGTTGTGCTTATTTGTCTGATCCTTCAAGAAGGGGCAGATTTAAGCTTTCTAACCTTTAAATCTGAACATTAATTTGGAGTCCTTACAAACTGCTTGGGGTATCAGTTTTTAAAGCATGCCAGCTACCATATTAATTATAGTTAAGAAAATGAGAATTGTAAGACCATAGTTATGCTTACAGCTTTCCAGCTAGGTAAGAAAACACATTGTTAGAATGCCATACTGTGGCATGTAATATTGTGTGAAGGAATTTCTTTCTGACCCCAGCTGGTGATTAGCTCATGCTTTTATTTCTGAGGACTGAGACAGAGTGTTTTCTCTCTTTCTGTCTCCAAGTAGTGAAGCTAGTAACTTTAATAGAAGAGACTCATGACTTTTTTGGAACTGCAGGTGCTGATATTAAAAGATCTAATCTTTCTTTTAATATATTAACATGGTGCTTACTCAGTCGTATCCCGTAGCAGAAAACACTGCCGAGATATTCTGTATTTATTTAAAAACCTGTCATTTAAAAGTTTTAAGTAAAATTGAATATATAAGTTTGTGAAAGCATAATTTCCAAATATTCATGTTCAGTGATGGATTTTATTCTGTTTGCAGGCCAGACAATGCAGTGCCAGGAGATGTACTTGTATTAACTAAACCCTTGGGAACACAAGTGGCTGTAGCGGTCCACCAGTGGCTAGATATTGTGAGTAAACAGCAAAGAATGGGTAAAACCGTCCTAGCAGCTGTCATGGGCGACAGTATTTTGAAGTGGGAATGTTCACTAACATAACAAATGTGGAAGTGGATTGCTGCGTGTCAACCCTCTTTCCTGCTCTGCATCACAGAATCATAGAAAAGTATGGCTGAAATGGACTTCAGGAACTCATCTAGACTGGCATTATGGGTGAAGTTGCTTTTACCTCTGTGCAGTTAACCATGTTAGAAGTCGGATGGAAGGTAGGGTAGATTTATAGTTTATAGATTACCTAAATTAGAGGTACATCAGCTTTTATAAGCAACAGCTTACTTCATCAGATGCCATCTCAGAATCCAATGAAAGAAACTGCTGCTTAGGAAAGCTTACATATGTCTGACGAAGTCTGTAAGGCAAAAATCTACCCTATCTTCTGCCTGACTTCTAACGTGGTTAACTGCCTCTCTCTGTTACGTTTAAAGTCAGCTTTACTGGGGCCAAGATTTTACCCCACGCTACCCACGTGCACGTGGAAATATTTCTATATTCCATGCCCATTACACTGAGTTAAGTAAAATATCTCTAGTTGCATTGTGTACACAGAAGTATTTCCATCTGTTACTTTAGGCAAAAGTGAAGCTACTGAACTGAAAAGTGATTGTAAACCTGGCATCTGCTTATGTTGTTTGGCTCTGCATGCATTTTCAAAATTGCAACTTTTCAACTTACATTTTAAAAAGATGCATCTTAACTACTGTTGGGACTGCAGGGCAAATAGTCTCGCAGAAGAGTGAACTGGAACCTACTTTGTTTTGGCTGTCAGCCACTAAATTATCAGATGAATTCTGATTCCATAAATCTAGCAAAAAGTGGGAAAGAAACCTTCCTCTAAAGAGTCTACATCAAATCTGAAATATGACCTGTTAAAAAAAATAGTTTTTGTTTATCAATGAAAGTCTCATTTAATAAATGAATCTTTTTAACATCAAAGTTTTACCCTTGCCAATTAGTTGGCAGGATTGGGGCCTTAGAAAAGACTGAAAATCTTTGAGGAATGGCTAAATGTTCTTCATTATAGTTTGTTTTGAGCATAATCTAACTTCTTTTCACATCTGTTGTTTCACTGACATAGACTTGCAAATTAAGGATATTCTGAATTTCCACATAATTCAAGCACTTCTAATTTCCCTTGACTGTCAAGAAAAGCACTTTCTATTGTGAAAAACAGAGGCAGAAATGAAATCAGTCCTCTTGCTACATGTAAACAGTGTATAATTTCTGATTGTGGTAGAAAAATTTTGTTGAGGTTACGCCAATATTATGGCTTCTTTTGCGAAAGGAGAGAAACCAAAGCTATAATACTACCTATCATGTACATAGTCATGCACATATCTAGTTTCTGAAGGGGTATGTATGGCTTTGTAATGGAAAATATTTGAGTGTGTGTGTACATGTGCATGGTACAGCAACTTTGATATAGTTGAGAAGGTAAGACTTGAATATAGAGGTGATTGCAGAGTTAAAAAGTAACTTTAAAATATTAAGTATGGTCCAGAAGTACTCAGAAGTTTTTGCAAAGCATGGCTACAGGGATCAGCCTGTGAAAGGATGCTGTATTAAAGAAACACGAGTAGGCTTTGTCATTTCTAGGCAAAGATAAAAAGGAAGGTGTTAAGCAGAGAACTCCAGTGACGGCTCCTCCTGGTCCTGCTGTGCCACTCTGGGTGGGGAGGAAGCTTCAGCTGAACAACTTCTACCCCAGCACATGAGGCTCCAGCTCCAGATGCCTTCCACCCGCTCTGCGCACCCATGCTGGGTGTGTGGAAGGCAGCCTGGAGCTGGACCCCGCATGCTGGGGCAGGAGCAACCTGGCTGAAGCTCCCGGCTGCTTTTCACCCACTCAGCTCTCTGTGCCAGGCAGGCAGAGTGGGTGGAAGACACCCAGCCAGCAGCTGGAGCCAGAGCCCTGCTCGCTGGGGCAGGAGCCACCCAGCTGAAGCAGGAGAAGGAGCCACCATTGGAGGTGAGGGAAAGCCAAATAGCACCCGGGTGGTGGCTGCAGCTGCACTGGGAGCAGTCCCGCCTGTAAGCTGTGCATGCTGGCTGGGGCCAGACCAGCAGGCGCAAGCTAAAATGCGACAAGGGCTGCACCAGCTAGGGCTTGGCCCCATGCGGAGGATCACACCACCCGGACAAGCTGTGCTGCACATGCCTCCTCCCTCCCCTCACCCCCAGCCAGCTTCTGGGACCTAGCACCCAGGCAACCCACCTGCTCTCCTGCCCCCCCATGCAAATGCACATCCTCACCACAGGGCAAGGGGCATGCAGGGGGCAGATTACAGCTCAGCCCCATGCTGTCATGGCTCCATGATCCTGGCCTTGTTTGCCCATCCTGGTCCTAAACCGTGATCCCCGCCTTCCCACAGCCCTATCCCACATAGGGAGGTTTGGTGTCTTGTTGCGAGGGGGGAGGCAGAGGGACTGACCCAGCCCACCACAGCTCGTCAAAACTCCTTATGTGGCCCCAGGTCCAAATAATTGCCCACCCTTGTGTAAGAGGGAGGGTTCTATTACAAATACCCTCCTTCAGATGCTGGTTAATGCTAAATGGTTATTAAAATATTGCTTATAAGACGTGATGATCCCAGCTAAACTGTCTAGGAAAGTTATATTTCTGTCTGCTTCAGTTCCCTGTCCTGCTTATGCAACTGAAAAACCCCTTTCCATCATCTGTCTGTTTTGTAGTGCTGCTCTGACCTGTAAAACTGATTTTTTTTCCTAGAGGTGGTATCTGTCATTTCAGTCATGAAAGCGTTGTCTCTGTTTAACTGTTTCACTCATTTCACCAGGTGTTCTGGGATCATTGAGAATGAAAGGCTCATATAAATACCATTTGTCGTTAGCATGTGATATTAGAAAGGGGCAGAAGATGGAATGATTCCCTGAAGACCCTGGGGGTGGGAAAAGGAAGGTAGCTTTAAAAGCCCAATCAAACTTACAGGATGACTGTGATTGTAGTTCTCTAGCTGGAGAGTGTGCTGTGCCCTGTAGCATTCATCTATTGGAGTGAAGCATGTTTACCAATGGAGTGTTCCTAGACACAAGATTAGGAATCATTCCTTCTTTGACCAAAAGAGCTTGGGTTTGTTTCAGGGTATGCTAAAAAGTTCCTCTCCCTTTGGCCAGTGTTTCTTAAACTGCTGTGCTTAGTGAAAACCATCAAAGGTATGAGAGCAGAAGAAGAAAAAGCAAAATATAAAAGGAGGGGAAGGAAGGAAAAACTAAGAACAATTAAACAACCGTTGGAGAGGCCACAGTTTGATTGTAGTGACATAGTGGTACTTTATTTTCTGTAACATGCAATCATAGGGGTATGCAGCAGCGGTAGAATACACTTCAAAATGGTCTGTTACCCAAACCAGTTTGAGAGCCATTGCTTTTGGTCCTGCTTTTTCAACCAGGGTGGTGTTTACAGAGCAGGTTAGCCCAACCTGTGTGTTTTGTTCAGCACTAATACTACATATGATATACTTTAAAATTACCTGCAATATCTACGTACAAAAGGGTAATCAAGTATAAAACAAGATTTTTATGTTTCTGCAAACCTACAGACAATAGTTTTACTATTGTTATTAACATGCTCATAGTTACAATCTTTTAACTTTAAAACTTGAGCCTTCTAAAACAAACCTAAGTATCACAGAAGTGTAAATACATCCTGGACTAAGAATTTTTCATAAATTTTGGATGCGCTTTAAACTATGCATCCGCAAAACTAAGAAAACAGAATGTCTCTTTCTTTTTTTCTTCCATCCATTAGCCAGAAAAATGGAATAAAATCAAACTGGTGGTAACGCAAGAAGATGTAGAGCTAGCATACCAGGAGGCAATGATGAATATGGCAAGGCTCAACAGAACAGGTGAGAACAGGAGAAGTGTGTGTGTGTTGATTTTGTTTTCAATCCACATTTAATTTCAGCTGTCTGCCATGGTGAAATAAGCTACATCAGCTCATCTTCCCACCAACACCCCCATCATTCTTTTATTCAATACATGTGAAACAAGGAAATTAAAAACCAAACATACTCTTAATTATATAGCAAAGGCACAAATGTTGCTGGAGATGGTTATGCCTCACGTGGGTGAAATGATGAGAGTTGGTACAGATTTTAATGAGAAATAGATTGTATTTGTTCCTTTTTTCTCTCTCTCCTCTTGAAGGCAGGGCAGGTTAACTGTAAGCTTTTTATTTTCACAAAAAACTTTTACATCTCTCTTTTTTTTTTTTTTTTTTTTTTGCTTTGAATTCAAGATTTTGTGGCTTTTTTTTTTCCCCCCATGTTCTCCTTTCATTTTCTTTCCTCTCCCCCCTCTTCCCTCCTGCTGCAAACGTAGTGTGTGGTTTCTTTTCTTCTATGGTAGAAAGCAGGGGGGAAAAAGTGTCAAGCCATGACTTCTCTCTCTTTGTTGGAGGTCCCTTTGAAAGAACAGAGAATTGAATTTGGCATTTTCCTTAGCCCTTAATTGAAGGGGCCGAGGTGTTTTTTAAAAACTCTCTCGTTTGTTCAGGTTTCACATGGTACTTGTTATGTCGTCTTACTAGATTTTCATTCTTTCACATCATCTTCCAGGAAAAAAAAGATGACCTGTTTTTTGGTGCAAAAGAGATCTTTCAGGTCTTGTTTGTAGATCAGAAAGAACTAAAAAAAAAAAAAAAAGAAAGTGGAAACGTTTTTGGTTTTTTTACTACTCTCTTTTGCAGGTCACGTTTAACATTTAAATGTTCTTTAACTAGAGCTATTGTCCTCATATGGAGGTGTCTTTTTCCCCCAGCCAGGAGCTCAGCAGTTGCATATGCCCAAGAATTCCTTGAATGCCTCAGTGGGGAGGCTGGAGCATTATGGAGTTGATTCTGCCTGGCTGTGTCTTTGCCTCTCTCTCCCTCTTTAGGCTATCAGAATACAATCTGCAGATCCCAAATCAAAAGCCCTTAAAAGAATAAAAAGGTGTTGGGAGAAGGGAATAACCTAATCTGACTGAAATTTGCAACTAGTAGGTCAAACTGAAACTGTTAACGCATAATGCGTCTGTTCCAAAATTTGCGGAAATTTTGGATCTAGATTTAGTTCCAGCTTTTCAGACTACTATGCGTAAGTAGACATGTTAGTAAAACAGGCTCTTAAATTTACTTTATTTAAGCATTTGACATGATAGAGGATTTTCAGTGTAATATGTTAAAAACAACATAAATGTCATTTTCAAAAAGAATCTACGCAGTACCTGTGAATTTCAGGTGATGTAATGTTTTAATTGACGTTCACATTGGAAAATGTAAAGGATTTGTAGTTCTTATTGGGAGGGTAGATGGTTATTTGAAAGGTGTGCAAACTCCATTTTGATTGATCCATTCCTAAATCTTACTTTCCCTGATTTTTTATTTTATTTTTTTTTTTGTGGTCTCTTTCAGCTGCTGGACTAATGCACACTTTTAATGCACATGCAGCTACAGATATCACAGGATTTGGTATTCTGGGGCATGCACAGAACTTAGCCAAACAGCAGCGAAATGAGGTGTCCTTTGTTATTCATAACCTCCCTGTCCTAGCCAAGATGGCTGCAGTTAGCAAGGCGTGTGGCAATATGTTTGGACTCATGCATGGTACCTGTCCTGAGACTTCAGGTGAGTGACCTAATTTTTTTTCCCCATTTGAATTTAACAGGACGAAAACCACAGCCATGAACACCATGTATTGCATTTTTGAAGCACAGTTGGCTTAGGATGCCACCAAGCTAGTGAGCATTAGCCATGCAACTGTTCACAATTATTTTATTTATTTATTTATTTATTTATTTATTTTTAGCCTGGTCTCCAAACCACCAAGCTATTTTGACTGTCTCACTTCTTCCTTATGAGGCGCTATATATTATAAAACCTCCAGAGTGAAACATCTGGAACATTTTGCATTTCCAAGATCTGAATTTTTTTTTTAAACTTGTTTTCTGAAGTGTCCACTACAGAATACAGTACTGAGTATGTGCCTGTCATAGCACAGGCAACAATTTGTTTTTTCAAAAGTAAAATCACCCACAGGATGGCTGCCAATCAAGTCACTTTTTCCATTAGAAATGTATGTGGAATTTAATGCTACACTGCATGATTTGGGGTCCAAACCTTTTTCCCCTATCGACAGCATGGATGCAAACAATATACATTTATTCCCTCATTATCTTCTATTGTGTCCCCAAACCTGATTTGGAGGGATTGTCTCTAGCCATAAAAATGGAATTTGTTCTCCAAGTAGTGATCAATACTTGCTCTCTAGAGTCTGTCAAAAAATACTAGTTGTCATTGTGATATAAGTGTGTGTGTGTGTTTTGATTGTGTTTGCACTCATTTAATAGGCTAATAACTCATTTCACATGTCCCTCTAAGCAGCATCAGTTGGCAGCAGCTGTGGGTCCCTGCTTCCTATGGTTTCATTTGGAGACAGAGGTGAATGGCTCCCTAGTTTGTTGTTAATTCCAACATATCTAGCCCCTTGGAATAAGAGCATTGCTCTTCCAAAATTGTTTGCCTCATTTCTTCCTAGATTCATAGAAGTAGGGTTGGAAGGACCTTGTAGATCATCAAGTCTGACCCCCTGCCCTGGGCAGGAGAGAAAACTGGGCTCAAATGACCCCAGCCAGGTAGACATCAAGCCTTCTTAAAGACCCCCAGGGTAGGAGCCATCGCCACTACCCTTGGAAGTTGGTTCCAGATCCTAGCCGCCCTGACTGTGAAGTAGTGCCTTTGGATGTCTAGTCTGAACCTACTCTAACAATTTGTGGCCATTATTCCTTGTTACCCGGTGGGGCGCTAGGGGGAACAGGGTCTCTCCCAAACCCTGCTGGTCCCCCCCTAGTGAGTTTATAGACGGCCACCAGATCCCCCCTCAGCCTTTTCTTGCGAAGGCTGAACAGGTTAAGGTCCCGTAGCTTCTCTTTGTAGGGTCTGCCCTGCTGTCCCCTGATCATGCGGGTGGTCCTCCTCTGGACCCTCTCAATGCTGTCCACATCCCTCCTGAAGTGTGGCAGCCAGAACTGGACACAGTACTCCAGCTGTGGCCTGACCAGTGTCGCATAGAGGGGGAGGATCACCTCCTTGGCCCTGCTTGAGATGCATCTGTGGATGCACAACAAGGTACGGTTAGCCCTACTGACCATGTCCTCACATTGTCGGCCCATGTTTCTCTTGGAGTCAGTAATGACTCCAAGATCTCTTTCTGCCACCATGCTCTCAAGAAGGGAGTTTCCCAGCTTATAAGTGTGCTGCTGGTTCCCACTGCCCAAGTACAGCACCCTGCACTTGTCAGTATTGAAACCCATCCTGTTTTCGTTAGCCCACCCCTGTAACCTGTCCAGGTCCTGCTGTAATCTGTCCTTCCCTACTAGCGTGCCCACCTCACCCCAAATCTTGGTATCATCAGCAAATTTAAACAGGCTGCTTTTTACCCCATCGTCCAAGCCACTAATAAAGAAATTGAACAGTGTGGGGTCAAGGACCGAGTCCTGAGGAACCCCACTGCCCACTCCAGGTCGAAAAAGACCCATCCACCACTACCCTCTGAGTCCGACCCTTCAGCAAATTTGCAGTCCATCTGACTGTGTAGGCATCAATGCCACAGTCGCCTAGTTTTTTGATGAGAATGGGGTGGTCGACAGTGTCAAAGGCCTTGCTGAAGTCCAGAAATTCTACATCCACTGCGACACCTGCAACACCGCAACACCTGTGTCCTGATCTTTTCTTTTTGTCGTCTTCATCTTCTTTCCTCAGTCTGTGGTTTTCCCCCTGCCCTTCTTTCTCCAAAAGTGTTAGCTAAGATTTCTGCAACACACAACACAGCAGAACACCACCCTCCCCAATTCCAAAGTAAAGAAGTGTGTGAAAATCTGGAAAAGAGGATTGCAGGGAGAGCCATAAACATCTCCCTGAGTGATTATACAATTTACTGTGATACGTTGAATTGTTCCTTAGCTATCTGTGTTTAATCAGAAACTGTATACCATGGAGACTGTATGATCACGCTTTGTCAAAAATGTGAACCCTTTTAAAGAGCTGAGAATCTGGTTGTATGTTGAATGAGTTTACTAGTCTCCATCCAGTTCTTAGTGCACAGATGTCCGTGTAACAAATGCCACCATAAATGATGGTTACAGCTACAGAGACTTCATATAGTGGTCCTTCAGGTCCACTGCAGTGTTATCCAGAAGTCTACTTCATTATAGCTCCCTGGACCTGGTTAGTGAATAGAGAACTTAAGTCTTCAAAATTGTCCATCCCACATCTTGGGTCAGCACATACTTTTCCTAGAAAGAATGGAAAATAGCGTAGTTACAGGTGCGAGAAAAGGAAAAGATGAAACTCTGGAAAATTAATTAGGTCAGGGATATCCAACTAGTGGCCTACAGACTGCATTTGTTAAGGGTTAATCAGCAGTGGGGTGCCCCCCACCCCCAGTCTGGGTGCCGCTTCTTCCATTGCTCTCCTGCTGCCACCAGAGTGTACAGGCTCCCCCTTCATCCTCCTGCTTCTACAGCCTGCAGGGCTGAGGGAGCTAGCAACCTGAGGACCCCCCACAGCATGGCATGGGGGAGCCAGTGTGGCCCAGTGAGTTGGGGGGAGCAAGGTGCTGTGGTGCAGTGCATGGGGAGGGATGTACCCATGATGAGGTGCAGTGGCATGGTACAGTGGGGGTGGGTGCCCACATAGCCCCCAGCCCCTCAGAATTTAGACAGCCCTTAATTAGGTGACTCATAAGCAGGAAGTATGTCTTTTAATCTTTAAATTGCTCTCAAATGGCTTCTCCACAGTTATTTACCATTTAACATCTGGATATTGCTAGAATTGCTAGAATATCTCTTGCCAGTCTTCTAGGTATTCATAGACTTTGGTCTGATCAGTGTTACAGAAGGCACAGATTTGACTGTGGTTGTTGTTGCAGTTCTGTCGTAGTAAGGCTTGCGCTCAAGAAAGCTGGAGCAGTTATCCTTTGTCCTATTTTGTTTCAAGTGCCAGAAATATTACACCCATAACTGCATTTTGCAAAAAAAATGTCTCTAGCAGAGTACAGCAGGCAAGTCACAAAGAACTTGCTCTAAAGAGATTGTAATGGATTAAAGACCAAGGCATTGTTTTTCCAGCGTGGATTTGCACGGTACAGCTTGATTTATAAATTGTGAATAGAAATATCAGTTCCACTAGAGTAACTAGGGGTGGGGTAACAGGGTCTTGAACCCCAGATGCTCAGGAAAGGGAGAACCAGAATGGAAGCAGAGGTGGCTTAAGGCTCCTGGTCACCCTGAGTGGAGTCAGGGCAGGCATCTCCTTGTCAACCTCCTCCTCCATATGAGGCTGTGGCAGTTGCAGGGTCAAGGGAGGTTGCTTGCTGATTGACACCTTGTGTTGTGCCTGTGCCTCTGCTCCACTCCACGCAGCTGAAGCCTCGAGGCCCGCTGTCTCCATTTTGGCACCCCTGAACACAACCCCTATCAGCTTCTCCTCTGCTACCCAGGGTGCAAACTCCACCAGTCACACATCTCATCTGTTTGGTCATCTAGTCCAGGGGTGGCCAGCCTGCGGCATGGGTGTTGCAAATGGCATGTGTGCGTGGCATGTGACAGATCAGAGAGGGAACAGGAAGCACAGTAGCAGATGGGGCAGAAAGCAGAGCAGCAGATTGGGCAGGGGAAGGGGGATCAGAGTGGCTCTCCGGGAGGGTACGAAATACAGCTTTAGCAAGCAGACACCAGCTGCAGCTTCTGAATAGTCTCAAGGCAGCACTACACTTGGTGGTAACGTGACCTCCAAGTGACAAACTTCAGGTAGTCATAGTGAGGACTCCATCTGCACACGTGCAAAGTGATGTGGGTGGGGTGGGGAAATCTCTTGCAACTCCTATGTCCTGAATACCCAACAACCGTGCAGCCTCACACTACCGTTGCAAGCTGTATGGCTGTCAAAGCATGACTGGCATTGCTAGAATGGCATAATTATAACTCTGCTGTCTATATGAGTCCTGCTAGTAATGACCAGTAGCCCAACCCTTTCATTAGAGGTTGCTGATGCATATTTGGTAGAACTGTGGGGTTATGGTGGTCAGAGGAGGACAGTTTTGTGTAGAAATTGGTGGATAGCAATTAATGTAGGACATTTCTGTTTCTAAAGGGCATAACAGCAAACTCATCATCAGTGTCAAAGAGCAAGAAAAGTGGTTAACAGGAAGGTCTGAGGAAAAAATGGATGATTGTAGGTTACTTTCTCGTACTTTTTGTCTTTCCACCTCTCTTCCCTTCTGTCTGATTGGTATTCAAGTTACTTTACCACTTTACTTTACATTACTTACTACTACTTATGAGCTTCCTGACCCATTTGCTCTACCAGAGACCTCCGTGGTAGTAGTTCATTCCACCAGGAGTCAGTGGTGTCCTTTTACATTTGGAGTCACTTAAACACCATTTTGTGTTGCATCTTCTTGCTTTTGTTGTTTCTGATGAGAAGTATGCCCCTTTCCTCCCCTTATCCCCTCATGCCTCTGTCCTGACAGCTTTTTGAGGTGCAAACTGCAGATGACTGAAATGCTTCAGTCTACATCACACTTTAGAAATAGGGTCCTTGTGCTTTTTTCCCTTCTTTTTAATTTACCATTGCTCAAAAGCTGCTTCTTTTCAGTGCTTTAAATTGGGCAGTTCCTTTCCGTTACTGTTAGCACGAGAAGATTAGCTTGAAGGTAATTGGTGCACACAGAAAACTACACATTAGCAGCTTGCAGGTGTAACTCTACGAAGCTGTGCTCCATACAGGCTAACCCAGGGTCAGATCAACACTATTCTTATGGTCTCCGAGAAACTCCCTACGAACTTGCAAAGAACAATTTTTCCAGCTATCTCAGTTGGTCTAATAAAAGTACTAGATTTACCCAAAGAGCCTTGTCTGCCTGTGTCCTTAGACTGACATGGCTACAACCTACACGCCTGTGAACTGTAGGAGTTTTTGTGGGTGGTTCAGTAGATGGTGCTCTTCTCCTAGCGTGTGCTCTGAACTGACATCCAGTCGTCCTAATGGTCTGTGCTGTGCTCCTGGATACACCTTACCATCAGATGCCACCCACACAAGACCTAAGGCTTTTACAGTTCTTGGTTTCTAAGATAGCGTGACCCTTTGTAATAGGCAGATGGTCCTGGCATTTATCCAAATTCCAGTTTTAGTAAATAAATTGTATTGCCTAAATTCTTCAGGCATCTTCAAGGAGAGGGGGTTCTTAACTTTCACTAACAGAGTGGAGTGAGGCAGTTATATGTACTGGAATGATACAGTATGCTTGCAACATAGGATGCTGTGAAGTTTAATTAGTGGAGTCTGCACATATATTTTTTTTACTCAAGCAATAAGTGCTACAGTGTGTGATTACTTTACCTGTATTAGTGAGGTATTGTCTAGGTAAATCTAAGTCCACTTCTTAGTGATAAGACACAGAAGCACAGAGAAGTAAATTAGCTTGCCTGAGGAATTAGCTGACAGCACTGGAAATGGATCTAATCTAATTTCAGTACAAAATCATCCTTCTTCAGTGCTATTTGATTTTTGAAAGAAAGGTGATTCTCTTTTTTTTTTTTATTAACTGAGTGGCAAGTATACTGTTTTGCTATTGTGTCAACCTCAAAACCTATTTCATTAGTAACATATAATAGGAAAGGCCACACATTAGAAATCTGCTATCCATACATTGAATACTAATCTTGTGAGAGAAGGGTTTTCAGGCTCAGATTTATCTCTCATTGCCAGATTTCCTCACCTCCTACATTACCTTACTGCACAAATGGTTCCCTCGAATTTGGCCGGATTACTTGTGAGCCAGGCCCCATCTTTATGCAGATGTTGTATTTTCTTGCATATAGCACATCCCAGAATTTAATACACAGTCTGGTTTTGAAAGACAACTCTAAGAAAATTAAAATTCTTAACTTGTAGTACAGGTAAGTAACTGATTAGCAGCAGTTAGGAAGCAGAGCCTGCTCCAGAACCTGCTGCCAGGTCTGCATTCTGAATGGGGGCTGTGGACTGACCCCACGTGCTGGCTGATCCAGTGCCACTGGTATTGGGGCTGTGCGCTGGGTCCAACCTTGTGCGTTGGCCTAATCTGGCATGCTAGGTCTGGGGCTGCGTGCTAGCTCTGACCATGGTTAGACCCTGTGCTCTGGCCCAGTCCAACATACAGGGCATGTTGTCTGGTCAGGGGCTCCCCACAAGTCCAGAAATTTGTTGGCAGGGAAGTGGTGGGAGTGTTAACTGCTGCAGTTTCCCCACCACCAACTTTTTAGACTTGTGGGGATCCCTGTTTCTTACATATAATGCACATTCTAATTCCCCTGGCTAGTTTAGGAAGAAAAGTTTGCGGATGGTACAAAACTGTGGGGAGAAGTGGACACGCTGGAGGGGAGGGAACAACTACAGGCAGACCTGGACAGGTTGGACAAATGGGCAGAAAACAATAGAATGCTATTTAACAAGGAGAAATGCAGAGTGCTGCACTTAGGGAGGAAAAATGTCCAGCACACCTACTGCCTAGGAAATGACCTGCTCGGTAGCATGGAAGCAGAAAGGGATCTTGGAGTCCTAGGAGGCCTCCAAGATGAGCGTGAGTCGTCACTGTGATGAAGTCATCAGAAAAGCTAACTGCACTTTATCATGCATCAGCAGATGCATGACAAACAGAGCCAAGGAGGTGATACTTCCCCTCTATCGGGCACTGGTCAGACCGCAGTTGGAGTACTGCGTGCAGTTTTGGGCGCCGCACTTCAAGAGGGATGTGGATAACCTGGAGAGGGTCCAGAGAAGGGCCACTCATATGGTTAAGGGCTTGCAGGCCAAGCCCTCTGAGGAGAGACTAGGGCACCTGGACCTCTTCAGCCTCCGCAAGAGAAGGTTGAGAGG